TCCAGATGGATTTTCTGACCGGTACCATCCCCTTTCCCAGTGCCCAAAGGGCTGTGGCACCTTCCACAAATAAATGCTGACTTGAATGTCCCTTGACTGGCTGAGAGTTCACTAAAGGCCAGAGGACACGATTACTGGGATGGAGGAAATAGAGCTGTTCCTCTCCCAGGACAGTAAAGGTCAGACCTCGCAAGGGAAGCAGAAGCTCCAACTAAAGTGACCCCAAGCCACGCAGCCCATTTCCATCTCCCTGGATCCAGATCCCAGGAGTAGGGCAGACAGGCCCACAGGGGTCTGGCTCTACCTTTGCCAAGGAGTCACCGATATCTGACACCTAGTGGGGTCCTGCTGCCCCTCACCCCTGGGGGAATCACTTACTCATTCAGCCATCATTTCCCTAGTGCCTGATGTGTGCCAAGCCATGTGCCAGGAATCAAAGATGCAGAGATAGAGGGGCAGCACTTGCCCAGCAGGGTTCATGGAAACAGTTTGTATACTACAAAACAGCAGGACCAAAGAGCAAGGTGCTGGCTCGGAGTAGACAAGCACAGGGGAGAGGGCTATGGGAGGGGAGGGGGCCTGGGAAAAGTCATTCGGCCCTCGATGAGCAGACCTACTTCCCTTCAGACAGCTTAGAGTCACAGTGAGGAGAGCCCACCATCCTCCAGAAGAACCAAGGAACATCATGTGGCCAGAAATGATGAGTGTCTTGGGGCACGCACACATTGTTGGAGAGGTACAGTGGGCCTGCACAGAAGGCAGATGCTCTGGGAATGTCCCTAGGAGCCTGAAAAGTAGCCTGGCACAGGCCTTGAAAGACCAGCCAAAGAAGACAGTGATGGCTCTCAGTTATTGTGCTGGGTATAAAAGTGCTAAGTGTTTCACACGTACTTTTTTTGTTTTCTCCTCATGCCTCATGAAGCAGTTACCATTATTATCCCCATTTACAGATTCCAAAACTGAGGCTCATAGCCAGGAATTGGCAGGGCCAGGATTCCAACACTAATGTCCAGTGCTTCACCACCATGCTGTTCGTCCTTAATCTAGGAGTAGGCAGAAGGTAGATGAAGGTGCCGCAGGTGGGGAACAAGGGAAGAAGAGCAGGTAGGTGGGGCCAAGTACTATCTGAAAAGGTTGCTGAGCTCCCTTGAGTTGAGGCTGTGCTGCATGTGTGTGTGCACGTGTGCATGCATGCATGCACACTTGGGTATACATTCACACACATGTCCTACTTTATGAAGGTCCCAGAACCCCTTGAGGGTTTCCCATTAGCAGATTAGGGAAGGAAATCCAGAGAGAAGGAACCTGTCTAAAGTCACACAGCACATGAACAGCAGAGTTGGAACAACCCCCAAGGACCAGAATGCAGGCCTCAGCTGCCTCTTCACGTCAGAGTGAATCAGCTGCTATTAGGAAAACGACGGTGGAGGGGGATCCCTGGGGTGAGTCAGGAACACGTAGCCCCTGAAAGGCAGCAACTGGGGCTGTTACTGAGCCCAGGGTTTGTGGTTGGCTCCTACTTCACAGGGCAGCGCCAGGAGCAAGAGGAGGAGGAGAGCAGCACCTCCCACACCACTGGACCATGTTTACCTCTGGGCTTTCCTCCCAGCCCCTCAGTTCCAAGCTTACAGGAGGGGAAGCTGGTGGGCAGGGCAGTTCCTGCTGAGATTAAACCCCCCTCCACACCCCTGTTCTGCTGCACAGAGGGGCCCAGGCCAAGCAACCCTGGCTTTCCCCTCCCCTTCCATCTCACACAGAGCCAACTCCTGTCCGTTTGACGCTCTTGATTAAATCATAACCACCCCTCTCTAAACTTCCCATGGGGCAGAGGAAGTGGGTATAACGGTTTGGAGCAAGGGGCCAAGTTAAAACCAGGGGGTGCCAGCTGGCCTCAGATACTCCAAATCTGAAGGAACACTCAGGGCTTGCGTCTGCTCAGCCGTGTGCCAGGAGGAACTGTCTAGTCCTCAGGGGAACAGGGCTTAGGTCCCCAGAGTGAAGGGGGATGGCCAGTGGGGGCTTCCAGGTCTCAAGAGAGAAGGGGCTGCCCCACACAGCAGAAACTTCAGTGGAACCCAAAGGAATCAGAATGCCACCCCCCAATGTGGGAAACTTGTGCCCTGACTGGCCTCCTGCCACCAGAGATAGCACGTGCTAACCTCTCACCCTGTCCTCCCTGGGCAGGGAGGCACTTCTCTCTAACTACCCCACTCCCAAACCTACTGGCCGGCCCAGGCTCCTGCCACTGGGCACAAATGCACCCCCCAGCCCTTCTTGGGTGGCTCCTCTCTACCCTCAGTAGCACTCATCACCTTCCCCAGTGTCCCCCCTACCTAATATAGCCACCTCCCTGAGCCCCTACTGCGTACCACGTACCAGGGGCTAGACAGGATAAAGGAAGGAAAAGCAGGCTGGACTATCCCCTCCCTTCCCTCTGATGATGCCTTTGCTATCTCCGTGGCTGGTGCCCCTTCCTTCATTCCCAGTGGCAGACATCCCCCAAACTGTCTACACCCTTTCTTCCCTGTCATCACAACCACTGGTTCATTATCACTGCTGATCCTCCTCCCAGCACATCTGGCACAGACCACCTTTTCTGAAGTGTGGCTCTGTTGGATCACTTCCTGCTTAAAGACCTTCAGGGGTTCCCACTTTCTATAAATCAAATCCAAACTTCTCACCTTGGCATTCAAGTTCCTCCATGAGTTGATCGCACCTACTACACACATCACTGCAGTCCCAATACCAGCCAGATGGCTCAACCCAAGGGTTTCTCAAGTTTCCCTAAGCAGGCTGCCCTTTCTGCCTTTGCCTAGGCATTTTCTTCTGCCCAAGATACCACATTCATACTAGCTGCCATGACCCTCTCCAATCGGTAAGGCCCTGAAGACTGCGCGAATCCTTTCATCATTTATCTTCTTTCAGACTCACTAGTATCCTTGCCTAAGCCTCCTTGCAGAAGGAAAGCAACCTGCGGGTGCAGGCCTTGCATGGCCACTTCTCATTCATCATGTGGGGCAGGGGTGGTGCTGGGGGGCTTTCCATGAAGGCTTACTGGGTAGGCCCTGTTGGAATGAACATCTCCTACTCCTCACCACAGACACCACCTACCCGGCCCTCTCCCTGCCTACTATACCAAATTCTAATCTTACGCCACTCAAAAGCTCAGAAAGTCTGTGGCACTATGCTGATGTAAGCCAAACTAGGACTTGGGAATTCAAACAGAAAGTCGTGCTTAAGTCTCATCAGCGGCAGGAATCCTCCTTATCTCTCCCCACCCCTGGTTTCTCAAGTATCTCCCCTCTTCTCAACACCTCCCCTACACACACAGTCTTCTTCACATACTGCGGCCTCTAATCAAACTCTGTCCCATAGTATTTTCCAGCTAGTTCCACTGTGTATAGCTTATCTGTTCCCCTCCCCCTGAAGACGCAGGGAGCCAACATGCAGCACCCTCAGTGTTCTTTGGTGCCTGACCCTGCTCAAACAGACAACAGGTACCCACTCTGCCCATCACCCCTGCCCCAAGCCAAGCATGCAATGGTATAGCTGGGTTCCAGCCACCAGGCAGCACAGACCCATCTGTCCCAGAGCCCTGGGTGGGAATGATCCTCTCCAGCAGGGACATGGTGGGCCTAGGGGAGCCCTCATTGTCAGCAACTCAGGATGTGGGCAGAGCCAGGTCTGGCACTTCGGCTCACCTCTGTATCCTTTAACTCTGTCCGGTATATAGTAGGTACTCAGTTAACAGCTTTTGGCTTTAATTGAACACTCATAATCTCATGCACTATTACAGAAAACTCAGCCACTCTCAGCCCCAGGTGACACACTGCCCAAACCTCAAAGAGTGATGTTTCTGGCAGGTAGCAATTTCTGGCTCTCAGAAGGTCAGGGAGCTGCAGCTAGCCCCAGCTCTCCATCCCCTACCCCACAAATGGGCTTAGTCCCTGGCAGGAAGCCAGTCCCATCACCTGCTGATCCAAATCAGGGCAGCTATCACACAGTGAAACTTTGCTGGGTCCCCAGTGCTTGCTAAGCACCATATATACATTATTCTATTTAGTTCTTGCTAATCCTGTTGGATAATGTCATCACCCCCATTTTACAGATAAGGAAACTGAAGTTTGGAAGGGCAGTAGAACCTAAGTCATTTTGGTCCCAAAGCCCCAAGTCTTTGACCACGGAACTAGGCTGTACATCTACTGTGGCCCAGCACAGAACACCCACAGCCACCAGGCACGGAACCCTCCAGCCCTCAAAACTAAGGCTGGGTATGTCATAAGATTCCTTTGCGCCCAGGGCTTGACCCTGGGTCCAAGGTTTGGTGTAGTCCCTTCTTTTCCCTCTTCACCAGGATAAGAACTAAGCCCCAGTTCCCACCCCTCCACCCCAGCCTCTCAGGCCACCTCACCTGGAAAAGCCCACTGAGTTTCCAACTTGATCTCTTAGAGGCCTTGACTCAGTTGAGCTATAAAAATTGGTGAGAGGTGGGGATCAAGGGAGAGCAGAAACTTCCCTGCTTTGAGCTTCCCTTCCTGAAGACTTGAGGGCTCCAGCCCCATCTGAGAAACCAGTGTGACCTTTAAAGATACTCGTTTCTCTCAGTCTCATTCTGCAAGGAGAGGAGTTAGGCGGCATGAATACCTGTGGCTGAACTGCAGCTCTCCGTCACCTGCCAGGCCTCACCCTCGGGGCTTTAGTCAGAAAGGGCCACGGTTGCTTGGAGTTCACCTGACTCAACTTCCTCCTCCGGGAACCAGGGAGGCTCTAGCCAGGTGAGGGTACGGACCAGGGTCACACAGCTGGTACATGAGGGAGCCGCAGAACTGGGGGTTCAGGACTCAGGGGCTAATGTTCCTTCTCCCCACCAGCTGCCCCGACCTGTCATTCACTATGTTCCAGAAAGCTGGCAGAGCCAGCTGCGGAAGTGGGGGCAAAAACCAACTTTCTGGTAGTCTGTGGGCTTCCCCCGAGCCCCGACCCCCAGCCCCTCTTCTTACCAGTTGGCTCTGTTTTCGCTCCGCGCTGCAAACCCTGAGCCTCCCTCTCGCTCCCCAGTCAGAGTCGACTGCGCAGCGCTTGGCTGGGTCACTCCACCGTTCCCCCCCTCCCGGACGCCGTCGGGGAACGCAGCGGCTACGGCCAGGCCCCGCCCCCCCCAGAGGACGCGCCCCCTCGGCAGCCCGGTCCGGCCCTCTGTCCCACCCCCATCCTTGTGGGAGGGCCCTTAGCGTCCTGCAGGAGGTGAGGCCCCGCCCCTTCCCCCCCTGCCCGCTGCCGCTCCCCCTCGGGCCGCTGCACCTCCCTCCTCTAGCCTGGTCAGCCCTGCGTCCTTGTCGCATAAGGATGAAGCCTGCCCCTGCGCCCTCCTCCTCGGCACTGCACTCCGCGCCCTTCCAGCCCGCCCCGACCCCTGCCGGTTCACAGCCCTACCTAACGGTCCCGCCCCTCGGCAGCGTTCCTCACCCTTCGCAGTCTCCTCCCGGGCGGTTGGCGGCTCTCCTAGGCCCGCCCATCTCCCTGTCTTCACTTTCTCCTCTGAGCTTACCCCGGCCCCTGGCTCGCCTAGGGTGAGGCCACGCCCCTTCCCCGCCTAGGCGGGGTCCCAGCGCCTCCCCAATCCTGCCCTGCCAACCCCAACTCTGGGCCGGTAGCCCTCGGGGCCCCACGCTGGTATTCCAGAACGGGTGTATCCGGGTGCAAGCGGAGAACAGCGTGGGAGCTGATTGCGTTCCAAGTCGGGGCCTCTATCAGGAGGCAAACGAGACTTAGGTACTTTTTGGAAATACTAACAGCTACCATTGATTGAACCCTTGCCAGGGACCAGGCTCTATGCCAGGCCCTGTAAAAAGTCCCGGCCCTTGAATTCCCACAACTCACAGGGTACTCATGTTGTTCCCATTTTGCTGATTTGCAATTTAAGGCTTAGACAGTTCAGATCTCAGGCCCTGACTCTCATGGGGGAGGCAGTGGTGAGCAGGATCCAGCAACACGTCCTTAGTCACAGGCTTGATGCAGCTTGTCTGGCCTGGCCCCTGCAGAAGTGGCTAGCTGGCTGTTGAGGTAGTGCCCAGTGGGCTGCCTGAGGTGAGGGAGGAGGTGGTACAAAGGCCTGCACCCTTAAAGCTGGGTGGCTCACGCCGGTAATCCTAGCTCTCTGGGAGGACAAGGCCTGCGGATTACTTGAGCTCACAAGTTCCAGACCAGCCTGAGCAAAAGTGAGACCCTATCTCTACTAAAAATAGAAAAACTGAGGCAAGAGAATGAATCTCTTGAGCCGGAGTTGGAGGTTGCTGTGAGCTATGACGCCACAGTACTCTACCCAGGGCAACAGCTTGAGACTCTGTCTCAAAAAAAAAAAAAAAAAAAAAAAGCTGGCTTTCTCAGTGAAGAAGTGGTCCAGAATTAAGGAGAGCTGCCAAAGATCTCTAGATGGCTGTGGGGCTCCACTCTGTATCCCAGCCCTCCCTTTCCCAGACATTAGGGACCAGCCTCCGGCAGATTACTTGGTTAATGACCAGGGCCATTCACCTGTGCAGCTGACAAAGCACTTCCATTCCCATTATCTCATTGGAATCTCATAACAGCACCATTGTGGGGAGAGTATGATTATGCCTGTTTTGCATGGGTGGAGTAGGGTAATGAGCTGGATTCCAGGCCAAAACAGTGGTTCTCAAAGCATGTCCTTAGACTGGCAGCAAACGTCATCTGGGAACTTGTTAGGAATGTGTATTTTGAGGCTTTATCTCAGACCTACTGAATGGGAAACTGTGGGGCAATTCATTTTAATAAGGCCTTCTTTCTAAATCACACTCAAGTTTGAACCACTGTGGGACAGACTGTAAAGAGGTTAGAGCGGTCAGAGAATCACATAGACCTAGGGCAAGGCTGAGCACTTAACCTCTCTAGGATAAGCCCTTAAATAGTAAATAATAACAACAGCAATAATGATAATAGCAGTCTTGAGGTTGGCTGTCGAAGATGCAATATGATAATACTCATGAAGGATTTGGCCCACTGCTGGGATGGATGCTGTGCATGCCCATGGGTGTTCACATGCCAGTGTTCTCCTTCCAGTAAAATGTATCCTTCACAGAATCTCCACACCACGTCAGAAGAGTAGGGCTGGGGAATCCTTTAAACATAGCAGTGTCCCATTTGGTTGAGCTTTCCACAGAGGGACACCATGCATACTGCAAGAGGTCAAGGTTCTAATAAAATCCCAAATGATACAGATGCTGGTCTGGGGACCACACTTTGAGAAGCACGGTGCTAATCTGTCTCGAGCTGGGTTCCAGCTGCTTATGCTACCCAACATACAAAATGGGCATAAAATACCCTCATCTTCCACCCTGCTTCATACCCCCTTCTCTAAAAGCTGGGGGTGTTTGTGCTGGTTATTGGCAATTGGCAATTGGCTAACAGCTGGGTCCTGTCGGGCCTCTCTCTCCACCATGCAGACATTCCCTTGCATTAGTCCCATCTGCTACCCTTCCTGTGTCTGCCACTCCAGATTAGAGATGGAGGCAGCTGTGGCCACATGGAGGGTGGTAGCAGGGCTGCTTCTGGAATCTCTGCCATACTCCCACACCATCCTCCAAGCTCCCATTGAATAGGATCTTGCTGCAGGTACTCATAGCCTGAGCATTGGACCTATTGTGCAGACCCAGGCCAACATGGCATCCCAAGTTCAGAGTGCAAATCTAAAACCACATACCTTTTATCTAAACATTTAACTGACTGGAAAATGAAGTATACATATCTTACCTTGACAAATATTCTTTCTTTCTCTCTCTCCTTCCTTCTTTCCTTCCTTCCTTCCTTCCTCCCTTCCTCCCTCCCTCTCTTTCTTTTTTTCTTTATTTTGAGACAGAGTCTTACTGTGTCACCCTTGGCAGAATGCCATGGCATCACAGCTCACCACAACCTCCAACTCTTGAGCTTAAGTGATTCTTTTGCCTCAGCCTCCCAAGTAGCTGGGGCTACAGGCACCTGCCACAACACCTGGCTATTTTTTTTTTTTTGGTTGTAGTTGTCGTTGTTTGGCAGGCCCAGGCTGGATTTGAACCCACCAGCTCCAGTGTATGTGACTGGCAGCCTAGCCGCTGAGCTACAGGCACCGAGCCAACAAATATTCTTTACAATAACCAAAGGGATCATGTTCAAATTTGAAATTCTTAGACTCTTTGAAATTTTGTGCAAAAACATGGTGGTGTGGAAAGGTCAATCTGATCCCATCCCTGAGCCCACCCACTCTGCTTTTCTTCTTAGCCCTGAGTAGCCTAGGACTTTGGCATGTGAACACCCAGCCCACATGCCCAGACTCTGTCCACACACCACACCCATAGCCACATCTTGATCACCCGTCTGTGGGTGCACATATCAGGGACAGGATACACCCTCATGAGGGTGGACCTGGGTGAGAGGATTTGTAAGCCTTAAAGTGGGCTTGGACCGGTTAGGCAAAGGTTTCCAGGTTCTTAGACACCTAAAGCATGATCAAGGTGGGCTGTGGGCTCTGAGTGGACACAGGTACCTTCTTGACTAGGTCTGTGGTGGCACTGCCATTTGGCCTTGTCCTCCCAGCACCTAGTGTAGCCCTTGGGAGCTTAATGGGTGGCTGTGGAGTAGATGCGCACTGGAGTCTATTTCAGTCCATTTTCTGTTGCTGTAAGAGAATTCCACAGGTTGGGTGTCTTAGTCCATTTTGCATTATTATAAAGTGGTATCTGATACCAGGTAATTTATAAAGAATAAGGAAAAGAGATTTATTTGCTTAGTGGTTCTGCAGGCTGTGTGAGAAGCATGGGACTGGCATCTGCTTTTCAGGGAGCCTCCAGTCAAGGCAGAAGGAGAAGGGGGAGCAGGTGTGTCATGTGGTGAAAGAAGGCACAAGAGAGGGAGGAGGTACCAGTCACTTTCAAACAACCTGCTGTCCTGTGAACTACTAGAGGAAGAACTCATTACCACCAGGAAGGCACTGCACCATTTAGGAATCTGTCCCCAGGTAACACCTCCCACACGGCCCCACCTCCAACGTTGGAGATCAAATTTCAACATGAGATTTGGAGTTGACAAATATCCAAACCACATCACTGGGTAGTTTTTAAAGAAAAGAATTTTATTTTTTACAGTTCTGGAACTTGAGAAGTCCAAGGTCAAGGGGACACATCTGGTGAGGGCCTTCTTACTGTCTAATAACATAGCAGAGGACATCACATGATGAGCTAGCGATACTGTGTCAGCTCAGGTCTTTCTTCCTCTGATAGCCACCAGTCCCATCATCAGGACCCCACCCTGATGACCTCATCTAATCCTAATTACCTCCCAAAGGCCCTGTCTCCAAATGTCATCAACATATGAATTTGGGGATTAAGTTCCCAACACATGAAATTTGGGGGACACAGACTATAGCAGAGTCATTCACTGAAGTATCCCACTGGGTTGGGTCACCCAGATCTGTCTTCATCCCCTCTTTTCTAGCAGAAGTAAGGCTTTCCATGGCTGACTCTGGGGATTTTGCCAGGCAGAGAGTGGACCCATGATTTTCAACAAGTATGCTGCAGTACACTGACATACCATGAAAAATCATTAATTAAATTATTTTTGAAGGAAGTTCCAAGTGCAGTAGGCATATTCTTTTTCTGATTTTTTTGCTCTTTTTTTTTTTTTGATCAACATAATTTAAATGTGCTGCAGAAGTTTGACTATAGATTCAAGTATGCCATGAGATTAAAAATGTTGAAAAACACTGGAGTAGAGAGAGATGCTTCTAGCAAAAGACTCTACCTTTTTGAAATTCTTTAGTCCATTTCCAAGGTGAGGTCAGGAGTTCTGGAGGTGGGGAAAGGGGTGAGAAGACCAGAAAGCCTTGAGAAGACATCAAATGGCCAAGTTGGAGGTTGGGGAGGTATTTGTTTGGTAAGACCTCCAAGGGGTGTGGCCCTAGGGCTCCCAGCCTCTCAGAAGATTCTCCCATCCCAAAAGTGGCACAAGGAGATCCCAAGGCCCTTGTTGGCAAGAAAATGGGGGTCAGTGTTTTGTCAGTACCTGGGCCCATGTAAGGCCCCAAGACTTTTGCACAACTCTGGTGGAAGGAAGAATGGAAGGAAGGAAATTGGGATATCTGTTTCTTACTGTTATGTGACCACCCCACTTGTTTTTTAGCCCATAAATCTGCAATGTGGGGTGGGCACAGCAATGAAGGCTTATCTCTTCTCTGTGCAATGCCAGTTGCTCAGAGGATCCATTTTCAAGACGGTGTGCTCATAGGACTAGCAAGTCACATACTAGGTGTCAGCTGGGAGCTCAGCCAGACCTGTGAACCAAAGGCCTCTATTATTCTCTATGAGGCCGCTCCGCAAGTTGTTTGGACTTCCCCACAACTGGGTTGTTGGGTTTTAAGAACAAAGATCACTTTTGAAGTGCATGGCATTTTGTGACCCAGCGTCAGAAGTCACAGAGCATCATTTCCTTTGCATTTCATCAGTGGGGTCAGCCACAAAGGCTCAGCCCGTGCAAGGGGAGGATGGATAGTCTCTCTCTCTTGATGAGGGGGTGGCAGAGTTCTAGAAGCACTTGTGGGACAGGAAGTATCCTTCCAGACATCTTAGGAAAATGCAATCTGCCCCAAGTAGGCCCTCGGAATGACCGGTGTAGAATTTCCTCTGATGGGAGCTGACCTAATTAAATCGATTTGAAGGAAAAGCTATACAGTAGGTCTTGCACAAGCATTTGTGCACAAATTAAAAACTCCAACAATGGACAGTTAGTTTTGACTGCTTGAATTAAGATCTTCTTTCTTCAAGGATTCTCAGAATAAAGGCAGCAACTTCTTCCCTCAACCTGCACTGTTTCCTTGAAGTCATTAACTTAAGTAGCATCGGCTTAATCCTCAGAGTAACAATGCGATGAGGTGCGTACTGCAGTAGAGCCTCCATAGCTGACCACTTCCCTACACTGACCACCTCCTTAGGTTGACCTAATTTTCATAAACTGGACATGCACCACAGGTACATATCCATACAGTAGGCCGAGTTCCTGATGTTGACCACCTCCATATGCTGACCAGTTTGTTGCAGTCCCTTGAGTGGCCATCTTACAGAGGTTCTACTGTAGTTTGATGTGGAAATGGATGCACTCAGATGCCTAAAGTCACACAACTGATAAGTGACGGAGGAAAGAGAAGTCACAGTTTGTAGCCAACCCAATTCTCAGTTACAGAAATTGAGCCCTAAGGGAAAGGTCCATGTTGAACAGTACCCAAGTATCCCGATTCTGAGCACCCATCCCTGAACCACACGGCCTACCTCAAAGTCTCAATCTAGGCCAAAGAGCTTCCCCAGGACCTTGAAGGGCCCCAGCTTTCTGCCTGAGTGACAGAGAGCGCTCTGGCTCCTGAGAGCTGAGCGCCAGTGAACCCTGGGCTTAACTCCGTACCATGCTCCATCCTCTTGCAGAGTGTCAGGCTGGGAAGTGGTTAATAACAATTTCTCAAACTTTCTATTTTTATTTCTCTATTTCCCTATTTCTAAGCACAGTGAGGCCTACATTTAAATGGGCTCAGCAGGCCACTGACCTTCATTCTCTTCTCCAAAGCATTTAGTGGTGATCTGAACTCCATGCCCGTGATAGCTGGTTTGTAGTTGGAGCAAGGGCCCAAGTTCCCACCGAAAAACTGGGCTATGGATTTGTTCCTGTCACAGTCATTTCACAAAGATCTGTTAGGCCCTTGCCTGGACCCCACCCTTCCCCCTACTACCTCTGAAGGTCCAGGGCTTAATCCCACCCAGCCCTGGGCTCAGGGGAGTTTGGGCACCGTGGGAACCTTACACTACATCATTGCCATAGCAACGACAACAGTAATCATTTTAAAAGTAACCTGTTACCCTGGCCAGGCATTTTAAAAACCACTAATTTAAGTATATTTAACTAATTGATAACTAGCGTTTGTGTAGTCCTCCACATGTTATGAAGTTTACCTCTTTATTTTACAGCTGTGGCACATGAGCAACTGTTTGAAGCTACTAAATGATGTTCTCCCCCCCCCCCGCCCGCCATCCACAATTCCCTGTTCCACCTTTCAGATGTCAGCTCAACCCCAGTGTGGGGTTTGACACCCCAAATAGTTATAAGCCCACAACCCAGTATGTGTTACTTATTTATAAATTACATGTATGTACTATTTTACTAGCCATTTTTCATGGTATGAACCATACACAAAAACAATTTAAAAAGATAAAAATAATTAACCAAAATGCCCATCAACCCAGGAATGGATTACTAAACTGTGGTGTACACCATGGAGTACTAGTCAACCATAAAAAGATGGAGACTTTACATCTTTTGTATTAACCTGGATGGGGATGAGACACATTCTTCTTAGGAAAGTATCTAAAGAATGGAAAAGTATCCAATGTCCCCAATACTAAGATGAAGGCGATAGATGGTCTAATACATGCTCGCATAAGAGAAAAACTCAATTCAAGTTGTGGGGGGCAGAGGAGGGAATAAAGGAGGGTGGAGAGGGGTGACGGGGAGAGAATTGCTGTGCTCCTACTTAATGGAAGGGCACAATGGCAGGGTATACGGCGCACCTCTTGGGTGCAGGACACAGGAGAAGAGGGACTCCCCCTAACAGATGCAAACATTGTAACCTAGTTGTTTGTACCTTCACATTAACCTGAAACAAAATAAAATAAATAAATGTAGTCCAGTCCAAAAAGTAAAAAAATAAGAAATGTATTAAAAATATTTTCTCTCTCTGCATAATAAGCATGAGGCAGTCTTATCAGTTTGTCCTTGGATTCCAGGAGATCAAGTTGGAGACTGCCTACCGTAGCTTCCATGCCCGCAGGGAAGAGTTGTGGGAGCAGCAAAGCAGAAGATGGAAGAAGCTTCCAGACAACCCTTTTCAGTGTCTCCGGATACAGGTGCACCCCAGAAATATTGAGGGTTCAGTTTCAGACCACCACAATAAAGTGAGCATTGCCATAAAGCAGTCCCACAGATTTTGTTCAGTTTCCCAGTCCATTTGAAAGCTACATTTGTTTTGTACATACATGGCTTAAAACGTGTTGCTAAAGAATGCTGACACAGAGACAGGAAGTGGGGGCATGTTGACGCCAGTGGATTCGCTCATGGTATCTATGGAGCATGATAAAGTGAAGTGCAATCAAGTGAGGTGCACCTGTGCTCATAGGCCCCTGAGATGGAAGAGGTGGCGCTGTGGAGAGGGAAGTTCTCACACCAGCTAAGGGGGTAGCTGCACAAAATCAGTGGGAGATCCTTTCCTGAATCAGGCCCGGGGTTACAAAGAGTACTACTCTGTGGCCCAAGAAGCCAATGGCATGGGACATTCTCCCCACTGTGCAGTTTGAAAACTGGAGAATTTCATGTTGACATTTACATGTACAGCTTCCATTGAAAAATAAGCACCTCCAAATATCTTGAGGTGCCTTCTGACAAGGCCATAACTGGCTGGATCCGAGTGGCAACATATACTTGCAGCTAGCCACAGTCCCCACCACTCTCTATTGATCACCTCACCTGCGTCCCTCACTTGTGCAGCCTGATTCCTCTGGGCAACTGAGTTTGCAATCCAGAGACCAATAGGTTTAGCTGAATGCACATTTATATTTAGAGTCCTATCATTCTCTGATAGTCACAGTGCTGCACAGACCTTTGCAAGAAGACAGGGACAGCACATTCCCTTCTTCCCTTTTCTCCATGACCCTCCCTATGAAAGCTTCTATGTTTGCCCAGACGTCCTCTGTGAGACATGGCTTTAGGCTCAAACTCAGCTCTGTTACATTTCTAGCTATGTGACCTTGGGCCTGGCCCTTCACCTCTCTGAGTTTGTTTCCTCATCTGTAAGCTAGGGGAAATACACAAACAATAGTTGCTCAAGACCAGCCTGAGCCAGAGCCAGAGCCAGAGCCGAACAGCATCTCTAAAAATAGCTGGGCGTTGTGGTGGAGGCCTGTAGTCCCAGCTACTTGGGAGACTGAGGCAAGAGAATTGGTTAAGCCCAAGAGTTTGAAGTTGCTGTGAGCTGTGTGATGCCACAGCACTCTACCAAGGACGACAAAGTGAGACTCTGTCTCAAAAAAAGGCGGGGGGGAACTAGTTAGTTTCGTCCAAGAAATTTTCTCTCACCAACAGAAACCGAGAGAAAGAACATCACTGTTCCCTTCAAAATGAATATTCATCGCCCTCTGGTGTTCACAGTACTCATTGCAGCCAATCAAGAGCAGAAAGAAACCGGGAGGGAGGTTAAAAACTCCTAGGGAGGGGCAGGGAGTTCCCATCCCTCAGGGTCTCAGGTTAATTCCATCAGCTGGAAGGTCAGGTGAAGGCAGACTTGGAATTAGGTCTGCACACCGGGATCCAGCTGCTGACACTCAGCTCAGGCAAGGACACTTAAGGTGTGGGATTTACAAACCTATGCTAACTGGCCTAACCTTTGGGAGGTGGATGGCTAGAGGACCTGATGACTCTTCATTTATAAAGGTGATGAAATAATATTAATCACAATAAGTATTAGTCATCAGCATGGCGAGTGGAAACTAGTTTATGCAGAAAAATTTGTTGAAATCCTCTTGCAACCATCCCCTCTGAATTGTCAAGCAGGGGGTTTAGGGTTGGCTGGAGAGTCAGGCTCATGTTCAGTTTCCAGGAATAAGGCCTCAAACCACATTGCACAACTCGCCTAATGAGGCAATCATTATTATCAGCCATCCTCCATTTGACACGCCTCTGTCCCAGGAAGTCAACATTGCAAGCCCTGGGAAGAGCCACCAGGAGGTGGCCTTGACCACACCAGCAGAGCATAGGAAGCTCCTTGCAGAGCCTGTTTCCTTCCAGGGCTCAGCACCAATTCCAAGCCTTGTGTGGGCCTCTCTGCTTGGAGAAGCCTAAGCCGCTAGACTGCAGGATGCCGGAATCAGATTCAATGTCCACTTCTCCAGACAGAACTTGTAATGCAGGAATTTCCTCAAATATAGAAAGATGATTCAAAAGGCATAGGGTGGCTTTGACTACGACATATGTCACTGTACTAAAACGGATGCAGGGTGTGCTACATTTATCTTGTCCACACACTGACCCACCCTCTGAAGCAGCTCATCCCCATTTTATGGAGAAGGAAAGTAAGGCTCAGCGAGTTTAAATAACTTGATTAAGACCTTGCAGCTCGTAAGTGGAAAATCTGGGGGTGAGTCAGGACTGCCAATTCCCCAACCTAATAAATATGCTATATTGCCTTCCTAAAGCAATTTCTTTTTTAGGATTCATGTTCCATTTACTGAGAATGAACCCTGGAATCTAGAATGAGGGACGAGAGGAGACTTCAGAGGTCATCTAGCCTAACTCCTCCTGTGTTCTGCCTCAGTCAGCTTCTAGGAGGCTACACTACAGTAACAAAGATCCTCCCAAATCTCACTGACTCCTATCAACAAAGGCTTATTTCTCACTTCTGTTAAATGACCAGTAAAGATTGTTAAAGGTCACATGAGGCTCTGCTTATGTGTCTGTGCCATTTCTAGAGCCGAGCTGAAGAATCAGCCCCTATTTGGGATAAGCTCTCCTCATGGGAGAGGAAATAAGAAGCAATGGCCAAGCCACATGGTGGCTTTCAGAGCAACTGCTCAGATGTGGCTTCTGTCACTTCTGCCCACATGCCATTGTCAAAGCAAGGCCCATGGCTGAACCCCACACATCAGTGGGAAGAGAAGTGATCTTTCAGAGAGGCACCGCCAGTCACGTCACAGCAGCCAGGCCTGTCTAATCTTACAGGGGTAGGAACAGAATAATTTGGAATAAAATGACAATCTATTCCCAGTCTCTCTTGCACTGACGGCTGGATTCCGGGGAGCAGAGTTCCCACGTACACCAATCAGAAAGCAAATGAATGCAAGAAATCATGCTTAACATTCTCATTTGACTAAAATTCATTCCTGCATTCCACAAATGTTTATCGCGTGCCTACTGTGTACTGAGAAATACTCTAGGACCGAGGATAAAGCAGGGACCAGTCAATGATCTTGCTCTCTTGGATATCTATTTGGAGATATGTATTATATATAAACATTTGTTAATATTTATGATGCATTGTTTTATAATAATATTTCATATAGCATTATAGAAAAATATATATTTGCCATAAACATTTGGAAAAATATTTACCCCAAATTCACTCTCTATCTTAGCTTATGCAGGTTTCTGTAACAAAGTACCTTAAGCTGGATAATTCATAAACAATAGAAACTTACTCTTCACAGTTCCAGGTGCTGAGAAGTCCAAGATCAAGGTGCCAAGAGGTTCAGTGCCTGATGAGGGCCTATTCCTCATAGATGGCACTGTCTAGATGTCCTCATGTGAGGGAAGAGATGGACCCAAGCTAGTTCCCTCCAGCCCTTTTTTAAGGCACTAATTCACTCATGAGAGTGGAGCCCGTATGACTCAATTACTTCCCATAAGGTCCACCTCTTGCTACCTCCACACCAGGGATTAAGTTTCAACAGGACTTTTCGAGGGGACACACACTCACACCATAGCACCAGTATTTCAAACAATAACAACACATGTTAATATCAGCCCACTAGCAACATGTTTTAAGAAGCGGAAGCCACATACGCTATCTGCCAAGAACTCTCCCTTCCCTTCTGCTAGAGGCCTACCTTGCTCCTTATGAAGGCCCCAAGTCTGTAGTATCCGTCCAGACCCAAGTCTAGCTCCACCAACACCAGCCCAGCCAAGCCAGGAATCCTGTGGGCTGTCTCAGAGCCCAGGCACTGTGCTGGAAGTGAAGAAAGAACTACAAGGAACAAAACCTTCTAGTTCACCAGGTGAGACCACCCTTATCTCGGACCTAAGAGGAATTTGCTTGTAAGTCTATAGGGACAGTGGGCCACGTGATGAACTTTATTCATGATAGCAGTATTTAAAAAAAAATGTTTTATCTGAGCTCCATTTCAAAACTTTCCAGTTTATACCCTTAAAGGGACTAGAGGGTGCCTTTTGCGCCACCTCCCCTCTCTGAATCCCCACTGGCTGGAATGGAGGCGTGATGGCTGGAGCTGAAGCAGCCCTGTTAGACCTCAAAGTAGCAGCTACATCTTGAGGTGGCTGAGCAAAGAAGACAAGAGACAGGATCTCACTGATATACTCCACGGGGGCCACCAACCTAAACATTACGTAAGAGAGAAATAGTATCAGAAGTACCATCACTACCACCACCATGACAACCATTGTCATCATCATCAGCCACTATCATCAATGCCACCACCAACACCATTGTCATTCTCACATTGCCATTGTGATCCACTGTCACCACTTTCACAATCACCATAACCACCTCTATTGCCTTTATCACCACCATCACCATCAGCATCATTACTGCCTATACCACCAGCACCACTATTACCATAATCACCATCACCATGTTCATCTACATCACCATCAGCATCTTCCTTACCACCAGCAGCAGCAAAAACATTGCCATCCCCACTCCTGCCCATGGAATGATGCCCGCTAGGAAATACTGTCACTGCTGCTCCTGCTGCAGTCAGAGCTGCCACCACCATGACTGTGGCTGGTTACTCCCACTGTTATTCTTGCCAACATTTCTGCACTCAGCTCTCTGAGTCTGTAGAGTCTGTATCCATGGACTCAACTAATTGCTGCTTCAAAATATTTGGAGAAAAAAAATTCCTCAAGGTTCCAAAAAAGTAAAACGTGAATTTTCTGCATTCCAAGTGCTACCCTGAATCCGTGTGAAGGGAGTGACGTGTAGGCATGGTATTAGAAATCATCAGTAATCTATAGAGATGATTTAAAGTATACAGGAGGATGTGCATAGGCTATGTGCAAATACTATGCCATTGTATATAATGGACTTGAGCAGCCACAGATTTTGGTGTCTGTGGGAAGGAGTGGGAGTCTCCTAGAACCGATTCCTCATGGTTACTGAGGGATGACTGTAGT